GCCAGGAAGAGGTCCTTGCGGAAGGAGAGGCCCAGGACATCCAGATCCTCACGGCCATAGCGGAAGGCACAGGTCAGCGTCACAAACACTGGACAGGAGGGAGGCTGAGTTAGAAGCAAAGGGGAGCCGGAAGGGGCCAGCCCTGCTCCCCATGGACCAGGATGCTCGAGACCCCTCTCCTGGCTCCCCCCCCACCCACCCACCCAGCAGCCTCTCTGAAGCACAGAGTGAGGAGGACTTCAGGGGTCTTTCAAAGGACGGCCTCTGACCATCCCTTCTTTGAAATCAATGTCCCTCGAGGCCCCCCCCCTCCGCCCATTTCATTCTGCTCTATGGACACCTGGGGGAGGGGCGGGCGTGGGAGGGGGGGGCTTCCCTCCAAAGGCAGCTGCCGTGGCTGTCCCTGCATTTCTCCCCAAATCTCATTCCATCTTCCACACCAATCGCGGCTGCCCCCCCCCATTCCCCCCCCCAGGAGGATTCTGCCAAGATCCCCTCTTCCGATTTGCCCCGGACTCACCTTTCCGATCCTTGAGATACTCGGGGTCAACCAGGACGACTCCGTCTGGCAGGGGGGAAAGGAGGGAGCAGGGTGTGTGGCAAGAGAAAAGTGGAGCCCCCGCCCACAGCCATCTCCTAGCTCCAACCTCTCTCCCCACTGGGCAGGGGGGCAGTGGGTCACCTTGTGGGGGGGCGGGAGGCTGCCCCCCAGGTGCCCTGCCTGATGGCAGCGTCTGACCTGGCCTTTCACAGCCACAGAACCCCCGGGCAGTGAACTCACAAGCCCCCTGCCCCCCTCCCACCACTTCCAGTACTATCTGGGGGTTGAAGGCTTAAAAAAAATTCTGCATCTCTCCCCCCCCCCAGCTTCATTGATCTCATGGGCAACTCGGCTGATGCGCCAACGACACCAGCTGAAGACGGCCCCCTTCTCAGGTGAGGGAAGCACAGCTGGGGCCCTCTCTGTCCCCAGCTGCCCTCCTGTTTTTCCAAGGAAGCCCCCGGGGGGCCCTTCCTACGCGGCTCACTTGCTTACCGACGGGGTCGACTCTGTCCAGGTGATCCACAAAGTCACGCTTTCCCAGGTAAACAGTCAGCTGGTGGAGACGAAGGGGAGGGGACTGTGAAGGGGGAAGCCCTCCCCTTCCCTCCGGCTCAAAAGCCCCAGCTCCCCCCTTCCCCAGGCCCGAAGCCCTTTGGAGCCACCGCCCCACGGCTGCCCCCGAGGCTTCTGATGCACCTGACAACTGGCATAACATCCAGTCCGGCCCCGGGGGCCCCATCCACTTCCTCCGCCCTCTGGCCACCGGGGCAGCCCCCTCCCCACCGTGCCGAGGTTTGCCTGCACCTGTGGCTCGGCCTCTCTGGGGAGAAGAGCAGGCAGGCCGGCCTGGGAGCATCGCCTGGGAGATGCTGGGTGTCAACAAGCCTCCAGCACCGCAGCTGACACCCCGGCCCCACCTGGCCTGGTGGTTCCCCAGGAAGGGCCTGCTCCCCGCGGGAGGCTCCCCACCTGCCTCGCTCCTCTGCTCTGCTGCCATGGCCACCTTGGGCAGCCGAGAGGATACTCGCCCATCCCTCCCCTGGCAGCACAGCCCCACCGCCATGAGCACCAGGCCCAGGGCCCCCTCTCTGCCGCTCACTCCTGCCTCTGCTGCCCCCTGCCCCCCCCGCAGAGAGGGGCTGCCCCCCAGCAGTCCTTGGCTGGAGTTGCTTGCACAGCTTTCTTCCTGCCCCAGGCAGGGCCCCACAGCCACGGCTCTCAGGCAGGCAGGTTAGGCTGCCAGAGGAAGGAAGCTGCTCAGGCGGGGAGGAAGGAGGACAGGAAGCCACCACGGAGGAGGAGACGGAGGGGGAGCCTCACTGCCCCCCCCCCCCAGGGTGCAGGAGCCAGTGGAAGAGTCAGGGAGGGACGGGGGGGGGGACACAGCCGGAGGCCCCAGCCCCCTTCGCTCTGCCTTCTCCCCTCGACCCCAAGGGGGCTTGCGGAGGAGTCCGTCCCCCAGCTCGGCGGAGTCCCGCTCCTTCCTCTCCCCCCCCCCCCAAGCGCAGGGAAGGGGAAGCCGAGGAAGCGCAGCCGGAGAGACTCACTTTGCAGTTGGGGCTGGACTTCTTGAAAACTCTGGGGCAGAAAAAGGAAGGAAAAAGAGGATGTGGAAGGCAGAGACGACAGCCGCCAACCGCCGCCCCCCCCGCCCCACCGCCGCACTGACAGCCGGACTCCCCCCCCCCAACGG